GAATGTGGACTTTCATTGCAAGGCTCTATCACTGTAGGTTGGTATCTTTTAGTCTTCCTTTAGTATAATTATAATGTTCTGATAATATATCTTTATATTTGTTTGCATTGTCCATTGTTACCTTTCCATATCCTGTTTGATCTCTGGTGTTGTCTCTAGGAAACAAAGCAAACATACTGTATTACAGATTAAGCCAAAGTGCTATGGAACCTACCAGGGTGCAGTTTAGTCCAACTCTTTGTCACTCTTCTGAGCATGCCTTCCAATGCCTCTGATGCCTTTTCTTTGTGTGGAAACAACCCCTTCACCCACCCACACACCCCCAACAGATCCCCAAAATGAAGCTAGACATCAACAGCAGTAAGATCCCCAGCGTGTCAGCTGTCTTCAAGCTGAGCACTGCAAGGCTCCATCGTCCCTCCATTGGCACCATGGACCCACCCAGACCTCTAATGAGCTTCCCGATGAACAGACACAGCCTGGGGCAGATAGAGACCAAGCCCACCGTTCAGCAGAAAGACTGGGCATGAGTATCTGTAACAGGTGAAGCAAAACCCCAGACAGTTAAGCCATAAAAAGCCAGCTAGATTATTAATGGATAATGACACCATGAAAAAAAAGATAAATATTCAGTCTTTAATTGTTTTGAAAAGCATGCTTCAGCCATAATTGTGGCCATTTAATTTTATGAGCTCCCATGAATCTTTAACAAGCCAAAGCAGGTATATGGAAACAATCAGTCTAAATGGAAGCCAAAATGTCTTGGCACATACTGCTTCAGCAGCACAGGTCTCCTACACTTCTGTGACAGAAAGAGCTCCTCACAACCTGGCTCAGTATTATTGGGAACCACAACAGATTGGTTAAATTTCATCCACATTTGCAAATGATATCCAAGACAAAAACAATTAAACTGAAAAGAGCCAAAAGCATCAGGTCTCATTCTTCACCTGCACGTTTGTTTTCAAGCAAAGGAGTTATTTCATTATGCCAGATATACAGTTCACACAAAATTGCATGCCTGTAAGCATGCAAAGGGCACAATCTAAATTTATGTTTTATTAATTATCTCACGGTTGACACTTTATTTACATGTACCAGTTACATATGGCAATAAAGTTCAAGTTCAAGGTTGGGGTTTGATGATGAAACTGTCAGTGTTAACCATCAAATGTTCTTACATATCAACAAATATGATACCATCCAGTCAAGGAGAATAAGGGCTGTGACAATAGCAGCACAGCTGTGCACAAAGCTGTGATCTCTTGCTTTCAATTTCAGCTGAGGGAGTGTCATGCAATTTTAGAGGTATTAAGCTGTTATGAGCTGTGCTGCTGTCTTTGCTGGCTCGACCCTACCATGGCGTCCTTCTGTGCTGCCTGAACTCTACTCCAATTATTATTTTTTGGCATTCTGGAAATCACTTAGCAAATGTCACTAAAGGCCAGTAAAGCAAAATAAACACCCAGTACTCTACTCCTTTTTTGTGTTACTAGATTCCTAAATTAGCTTTGCTGCTAGAAAGCATTTCATGGTTGCAGTAAGTACAGCAAGATTACTGTCCATTTCCAAAATACTTAAATATTAATTTAATATGATTTCAACCGCCCTCCCTTCTACACTGAAGTCCTGAATTTGTAACATAGTGTGTGAGGCGGTATTCCAGTCCACAGATATCTCTGAGACCCTAAACAAAGGTGTTCAGAGGTGACTGTGATCAATCTGTCTCAGATAGATCTTAGTTGTGTGGGCGTCCTCATCTGGTGCTGTGTCACTTGAAATGCATGAGACAAAAGGCACCTTTTAACAGTGAAGCTTTAGGTGGTCCATTTCCTTCCAGGGAGTATCCATGCAAGTGTCCCCAAGGAAGTATAAGGAGTGATCATGTGGCAAGTAGTTGTTCCAAGTAAAAAAGAAAACAATCTAATGAAGAAAGTACCTAATTATTTCCACCTATTCACTAACCACAGCTCCTTTTCTATTACTGATATGCCACTTGAAGCTCACCTAGATTTTGAGAGCAGTTAATAGCAATGTTTGATACTATTGGGATTATCCAAACTAAACAAAAAAGCACTTAAGCAAAAGTTTTAGAATTGTACATTTTTTAGACATCCTGTAATGCAATTGTGAAACAGGTCTGGTTGGCATGGCAACTGAAAGCTCTTTAATTATTCTGTCTGCCCCAAGCCTTAGTGTGACTGTTCGTGGTGTGACCTCGTCTCTGGGTCTCCTTCGAGGCTTTGAATTGAAAAAGATGAACCTTCTATATAGTAAATCTTTTAAATCTGAGATTGGGGTTTAAGATTTCTGGATTATTATTCCGTCATGCCCTTACCCTGGGTCTATGTCATGTCTGTACTTCTTGGGATAATATAGTAAACGTTAGGATCGTATGGGTCTAATCCTACCCATGAACACATTGTCATCAGCTTTTGGGAAAGTTGCCCTTCATGCAATCTGATGACCTCTTACAACTCTAGTACCTCATTGCCCTTGTTGTTTCCCTCATCCCTTCTGCAGCAGCTAGGACACACTGAGATCTCAATTTAGCTCCTCTAATTATCAAAGAACCGGAAGTTCAGCTCTTTGCTAGGGAGAAATAGGAAAAGCAGGAAAGCTGGACTCAACTCGGGTCCAGGTTGAAAAGAAAGCACAGCAAAGATTGTACTTTTTGTGCCAACAGAAAAATGTTGGTTTCTCTCAATCAATTCTGGTTTCCCTGCTACACTGAAGCAGTGTGCAGAGCAGTGAGCCCCCGTTTTCACAGATGCATTTAATCCGTCTGCGTCAGAATGGGGCTGATATGGTGAACGGATCCTGTGCAGGACTCAGGAGACTGAGAAAGACACTAAGCCGAATCGTTAGGCAAATCGAAAACCAGGAAGCAGGTGAGGAGGTCGGAAGACGGAAGTACAACGAGAAAGCAACAATCCAAAACTCAAGGCGAAATTGAGAACGAGAAGCAAGCAAGGAGATCAGGTACCGGAGGAAAAGCTAGATATAAACGCTCCCGAGGAGAATCCGCAATGGTGAGCAGGGAAAGGAGGAAAAGGGAGAACTAAAATAGGGACGGGAGAGAACGGTGATCGGCGTGTTACAGGGTGTGCGCGTGGGAATGCAAGAAGGGACAGAGACGCGAGTGGAATGCGTAACACTCTGGATCTGTGTAAGATGTAAGTGTACTGTGCCTGCTTTAAATATTCCATTAGTGTTCCTCTACCAAAGAAGGACACGATAGTCTGTCTAAATGACTATGCACCAGTTGCTGTTACTTCCCTTCATAAAGAATGTACGATACTTTGTTATCCCAAAACTATTACATATTCACATTTGATCATCTACAGTACAGTTTGCATACTGGGCCAGCACGTCAGTGGAAGATGCTTTTAACATGAACCTTCAATACATTGTGCAACATCTAGAATCCTCAAGCACATATGCACAATTTTTTTGTGGATTTTAGTTTGGCATTGAATACTATTATTTCAGAACTCATTCACAATAAATTGTACCAGAACTCCTTTACAATAAATGCACCACTTTGGTGCCTTGGCCCTTGCTTGTGAGGCTGTTTGTTGGTAAAAACTGGTGGACCTCAAAGATGTGTGTTTTCCCCATTACTCTATTCCTTGTACATTGACAATTGCACCACCACCAACTCTTCCATAAAACTAATAAAGTTTGCAGATCACAGCGCTCTTGTGATGACATCACTAATGATGATGAGACCGTGTACAGGAAGGAAGTGAGTTGGTTGGTACTGTAGTATGCTAACAGCCACCTGGAGTTTCGTACCCTTACAACAGTGTTAATCAGTGATGTGACTGTGAGTCCTACAGGCTTTTGGGAATTATGATCTCTAATACCCTTAAATAGAACATGAATAACGCCAGTATCATAAAGAAAGAACAGCAAAGATTGTACTTTCTGTGCCAACTGAAAAACTTTGGTGTCTCTCAACCAATTCCGAGACAGTTTTACAGAGCCATTATAGAGAGCATTCTGACTGCATCTACAACTGTTTGTTTGGTAAAACATCTGCGTGCTTCAAAGGCTAACTGCATTGTTCTTTGTTCTGGTGTTTGAAGATCTAATTTCCAAGGGCTATCTTTGTGCTTAACCAGAACTCCTAGTTTTACAGTATGTGCACATATGTCTTAATTATGTCTATTGTTTTGTTTGTGTATGATATATGTAATATAAAATTATATGTAATTTTTGTGCAGCACCAAGAGGACCAGAGTAAATTCCTTGTACATGAAATGTATTTGGCGAATGAAGGTGATTCTGATTCTCATATGGGGCCGAGGTTTCATTCGTCATGTTCACCAGGTGTACATTAGTGTGCTTATATTGCCCCCTTGTGACCATTAGGTATAAGTTAGAGGAAACCTCAAGGCAGCAATGACCAGGGTACAAGTTCCGGAGAGCCTGCTAGGATGAGGCAGAGCTTTTGACCAAAACTGTACATTATGTATTATAAAATGTATTATAAAAATATAAAATAAATACTTGGATTAAAAACATTCAAATAGATCAATCAAACAATTGACAATGAAATCTTTATAAAAATTCTTGATATGTCTTATTCTTTCATAAATTAATCAACAAATGGAAAACTCATATTCAGTGATCTAGATGAATACATTAAATCATGAGAATAGCATTCAGATCTTTCATCATGTGGTTCAGTCAGCAGATCACATACAGTAGCTGCGTGTGCAATTATTTTGATACAAACAGTAATGGAAAGGGTAAAGGTCACTCTGTGAACTCATCCTTCTGGGAGGGTCCAGAAGCCTGTCCCCCAGGGGTACGTCATACAGATTAACATGTAAATACTGCATCGTGGTTATGTTTATATATGAAGGTATGTCCTGAGGCTGTACCGTGCTGACTGTTTCCTGTGCCATTTGTATTCAAGTCCTAATAAAAAACAACAACACTGAAAGTAAAAAAATAGAAAGTAGACATCTGTTTTTTCTTGTTATTTATTAAAAGCCTAGGCACCTAAAACAACTGATTTTTTTTCTTAGGAAGAATTGTTTTTTGGGGGAGTTAAATAAAAGAAGAACTTTTTGAGCTCTAACTCAAAAACACTAAATTGTATTGTCTTACTAATGAAAGAGACAAATGATGTCTGTCTTTCGTGGAGCTCTGATCAAACTTTTTCATACCCTCTTTATATCACTTAATGCATGTACACACACAAAAACAGACCTGGAGCACAAAAAAGTAGGGCAGAATGTGGGATCTGACACTGCACACACTGCTGCTATGAACTAGTGGCACACAGATACCAGACATGCATAACAGATGCAATTCAAATTCACCTGGTATAGATTAGCCAAGTGCAGTGACTGAGCCTGATGCATTGGATCTGAATTGCATGACTTTTTGGAACTCATGAGAATGTGATGATGACCTCAAGACCACTCAGGACACACAGTTCTCCCTTTTATTTTTTTACTTTGGAAATGAAATCTTTGGGAATGAAGCATAAACTCAGTCTTCCACTGAGTCAGTTACATTGCGATGATGCAAACTGTATTTTTCATTAAGACTTTGATAAAACATAGCTTAAGCTTTTGGGATTCTCTTTCTAATTAAGAACAAAAAAGGATGCTGATACACCAAATGTAGAATGCATTCTGACTAAATGGATCCCAATTCATTCTTTATACCAGGAAAAATGGGAGAACTGTGTCTCTTGGCCTGAATAATTTGCTTTATAAACTGGTTTCAGCAAACGAACATGATCAGACTGTTTAAAGTAATTAGGTGCCATTAAATCACTGCTGTACAAAGTCACTTTAAGAAGCTGTGTCTGACGTTTGTTTAATCACTTGGCCGGAGGGATTATTGCTTTTGGGAAATGAACCAAAAAAAACTGTTAGGGTTTTTGTATTCAAATATTATTATTGAAATAAAATTAAGATAGTTTGTGATTTATTTGTGTTTAACTGCAGTTATTACAGGCCATATGTGGTTCAGTTTTTTTTTTGAATAACTTATAACAAGTGAAAGTGATATCACTGCTCCAGTAACATGTGAGAATGGGCAACAGCAGAATTGTTCTTGAGATGAGCAGTTAGCACTGCTCGGGTTTCTAGATGATAATTTACTTGAAAAGATAAGAAGAAAAAAAATGTGAAACATAATAATACAGCACGATAAGTGAAATAATTGTAGAATTATGATGTCAAATTAAACCTAAAACCAAGGGCTACATACTGTATTTACTGCTCTGCAATGTATAGAAATTATAATAACTTATGTAAAATCCCCTCACTGCTTTAGAGTTTATATTTCGTTTTAAATAACCAATGTTTTAAATGGCAACGTTCCCCTTTTGTCTGAAGGACAAAATAACAAAACAATCATGAAGTCACTTCATTTCTTTCATAATCTCAAGGTTATGGAGGCACATTACAAAGAGGATAAGTGCGTCCAGGGTTTACATGATTGAAAGATATAAATATATATCATGGCAAACTAGTCTGAAGGGACTCTTAGGAAAGCTGAAATGCCAATAAAGGCTATCTAAGCCTCTATCATTTGTAAATAGACAAAAACAGAGGTATTTTAGGTTATGAATTAGATTAGTGTTGATGGTTATTTTTCCTTCTCACATGGGGTTAATTAGTGGAATGTTAGGGGGTTTTAAGAGCCTGATGGGGTTAGGTTGCTAAACAGTTCTTTCGGTGTGTAAACAGCAAAATCTGTGAAGTCTCCTGCACTGAACAGTATTTCAATGGTGAGGATTTTTTGTGTACAGATCTCTGGAGCCACTTTATTTAAGGATAAGGTTGGTCACGCATATATATATATATCTATTTTTGAAAAAGCAAGCGAACAAACCTATTTTCATATACTCTATTAAATGCTTGTTAGTGTTTTGCAACGGTTGAGGAAGGAAAATTCTCTGGTTGATTATGTAATTACAGCACAAATTACTTAATTTACTAAAATTCTACTCAGGTTTCCCAATCCATCTGTTTCAGCAATTAACTGCAATCACATTATCTCTGTTTCCCTGTTTCCATGCTCTGACAGTTGAGAGTTTTATAAAACCGTGTCACTACGAAGACATTAGTGCATCTAATACTCACAACATAAGCAGTTTATGTATGTACAGTTCATTCAGGCTCCCTTACGTTGAGTGAGTGTTTTCTCTGTACAGTGGGTGTGCTCTAAGTTTCCTTTCATAATGTCCTTTGACAGGCAGCCCATATGCCTGAATGTCTCTGTGTCGGTCTTCTAAAAAGTTGATTCCGTCTGTTTCCATGAGAAGTCTCTGGGGACTGGGTCTCTTTCCCTTTCAGAAGTCACGTGGTCTGACCATCATGGTTGTCATGGTGGCCATCATGCTAGGTCCTTTCCAGTAATACCACTTGATTCCATTGTAGCGGACGATGTTGGAGCTCCCAGCATAATAAATCCCGTTGAGGTTGGATGGACCACATGCTTCAAACCACCACCCTACAGTCCGGTGAGAAGAGCAACATTACTGATGGATTGAGCACAATCTTCTGAGAACGAGCCAGGACAAAAAAATCTTGAAAACCACAAAAGGGCATTTCTTGATAACTCATGTTACGCTTTACAGTGTTTAAATAGCAGCTTCTGGCTTGTTTGCCAGCACCAAGCACAAGAGATTGTGTAAAGTTGAGACCTTCACCAAGCTCTTCACTGCCAGCTGCCAATTCGGCACCCTTTCAGAAATGCTCTTTTGATCCAAAATGTTATCACAGTTTGATCACTGGTTCCTATTCATGACTTTGCATAGGAGTCCACCCATGCCCACATGGTAAAACCATTAAAGAGTTCACGACGTGACATAATTGTTTACCTCCAGAAGCCATCTGGGCACATTTGCAGCTGCACTTGTCGTTATCTCTGTCCTTGGTGCTGAACTGGGCTCCAGAGGGAGTCAGGCTGCTGGTCCTCCCTGCAGTGCCACTGAAACCCCATGCATGGAGGCTGCATTTGTGGGTATAAGTTCACGTCAGCGATACATACTCCCCATCAACACTCAGGTCAGCAATCTTACCATTCCTCTGAAAGCAGTTTAGACTGTTTTAAAAACACTCCGCTACAGAAGTACACTGTTCATTAGAATTAATGTCTATTTGGAAAGACACCTCACAAGGAATGCCTTTCAGAGTTATGGTGTAACACAGGTAATCAACTATTTATTAGTGGTGCTTTTAAAACACATGCTCTCCAGAATGCAAAACTGCACATTTTGGAGAGTTTCTAACACTACAGTTCCCTTGGCTGAGACTGAAAATGAACCCAGCACTGTGTTCCCAGCGCCTTCACAACAATGACTCATTTGAGGGAAAGTTCAATAGGTAATATCTGGCATTTCTTTCTGCTGTTCTATTGCCTAGTAAGATGCAAAAAATGCAAGAGAAAAAAGTAATAAATGAATCCATTAAAATAACATAGCTCACTACATTGTTTTTGCATTATTATAATAGCCAATACATTAGTTTTTATATTATGATCTGTCTTAGACACATACAGCAAATTCTTTAATTCTATAGTGCTTTGAATGGAGTCCCAGTGGTGTTTTTTTATATGGAAATGTCACAAAGAGATGATACTGTTCTTTGGCGGTACCTACACTAAAACCCTAACTCCACCACCCATCCAATATGAACTAAATTAGTCGCAAAACACTTTGGCAAACTGCTAAAGAAAGATGGGTTCATCTATGTGGTAGCCGAGTGTAAAACAGTTCTTTTTTAGAAGACTGTTTAATCGTCCTATTGTAAGTATCTTTCAGTGCATGACATTCCCACGATACTGCCATCACCACGCTCTGCTCTGGGAGAAACGCATTTGAATAGGCAGAGAAATGGGCTTTGTAAGAGCCCAGGAGACAGATGGACGCAGCACGTGTCTCATTTTGAAGCCATCTTGAGCACATTCACAAGATTGGCTTTCTGTAGCTTGTGTTACAAAACGCAATTTGTCATGAATGAGATTTCAGTTGAATGTATTATATGTAGTCTATTAATCATCAGTTTGCTATGAATTTAGTTCCTAAAGCATTTTAATAAAGTGTCCATAGATATCCAGAAGTGATGCTGTTAGGTTAAGGTTAGACTATTACATACTACATTACATACTACTACAGTATCTATAGATGCTATACTAGCATTTCACAGAATTTGTTTTTTTAGCAAATAATAAATTATTATTATATCTATTTTTTCTTAATTGACACAAAAGGCTTAAAGGCATTACCACAAACTTAATTTCCAAATACAGGAACTCCCTTGTAAAAATGACTAAATCTTAAAGGAAATCTGCATATCAAGTGCTGTTAAAAATGAAAACCATTTGTGATTCATTTAAAGTGCAGAAGAAATGGACCACATTTTGCAACTCGGCAGAAAGCAAACCCCATGATAGTGGCCTTGCACACTTTTAAGGTTCCACACCTGTAGTTTCTGTCCTCGCCATCAGTGTAGAAGTGGTCGTATTGAGAGTGGGCTTCGTTCCCCTCCGAGTCTCTCAGCAGGACCAGCAAGGTATACTCCTGACTGCTTGTCAGCTGGTGGATGAATTCATTCCCCACCCAGTACTCCCCAGCGGCTTCGCCGAAACCCTGCATCAAAACCATGTGAACAACACAATACTGCACTGTGTGCTCTGCAGAAAGAGCAATAAGGCACATGGGTGAAAAAACAGTATGTTCTCTTTCCTAGCAAAACATCTGCAAAGAAGATCAACAATTCGTTTAAAATAGCTATTATTAGTTTTCACTTTTTTTGTTTGTTTTGGCTTCACTTAATTATATTTACAAATGACAGTGATTCCCCCCCACCCCACCCCCCCAGCCTATGTTGGCACGACCACTTGTTTATACAGAATCATGTGGTTGCCTTGGAGCACAGATGGCATATGGAGAAAAGCAATATCTTCCTCTGACGCTGCCAAGCGTCTGGACTCACTCCGCAGATTCCAACATGAAGCAAATATTTATATTTTCCTCTAATGGCAAAATAATTCAAAATACGTGACCCTGGTATTATGATTTGGATCATCTGATTAACTCCATCCCTACCTCCCACAATATCCTTGTTTCCAAAGGTGTATTCAAATCTGAACAAGAAAGAAATTGTGATAAACCAACCCAAAATAGAGGTTTTTTTTTTGGCGTATTGTATTTTTTCAAAGTGAAAGACTTCACTGGAATGGTCACTTCAGAATGACCAAAAAATAACATCAGTAACCGTAAGAATAACACAAATAACAGAGCTTAGACATGATGGTTATTTCAGGAGAAAAAAGTGCCCACAGAAATAACTTGTGGTTTATAGCTACATTTTTTATAGCTACATAAATATTTGCATTGTTATGTAGTTTGACATGTATTTTAGAGAAAAGACTAATTAATTTAAGAACCTGACAGCTTTGTAAAAACAGCTTCTCTGTAACACCCAATACTCCCCATGTTTTTTTAGCCCTGCCTCTCTGTGCATATCGTTTCCCTCTGCCTCTCTTTCCCTGTCTTGCACTCTCTTTCTCTTTTCACAAGCAGTGTCACTAGAAGAAGGATATCTCTTCCCACAGGGCCCCTCAGACCTTTGGAATATGCACTGGAGTATAAGAGCATACTGTGTGCTCTGCAGGGATATTAGCATCCAACTGTACTCTAAGTTGGATGCAGATATCCCTATTCAACTTATCAACAGCATCCCAGTGAATGGGCCTCTGAGGAGGGCTTTTTTTCTAAAACCCCAGGGACTAATGTCCTCTCTATTGTGCTTTTCATGTCAAAACCCACATGGCCAGCCCAGCCTCAATATCAGCACAGGATCAGACCAGCTCAGCACAGGGAAGGGACAGCTATGCTAAGCAGTTGTTCCACTCTTCAAACCTTATATGTGTCTGACCCTCAAAAAGCGTCTAATAAAGCAAAATGTCAAGAGAGTTATCTTTGATGAATTTCTGTAGCTCTCCTGTGCACCTGCAAATAATTCACACAGCCTTGCTGATCCTATTTGAGTGGCAGGGTGCTGAGAATGTTAATACTAGCCGTCCTGGCTGGTGAAGATCTGGTGCCTGTCTGCTCATGAATATGATGGTGTTTGGTGAGCTGTTATGAACAAAACACAATTGAGTTCATGGTTGATATTTTACAGTGATTTCTGTGATCCTGCAAATGGACCATTTGGATCACTTCCCAGTGTTCCCCAATAAATCCATTATATTTTATTATATTATACTCAGCAACAGTTCTTATACTAACAGTACTAGTATATAAATAAAGTTTTATAGTGCTAAAGGTAGCAGTAGCGGTAGTAACTTCTGTACCTGTAGCAATAGCACTTGGATCAGTAGTATTATTGATAACTATAATGCAAGCTTCCCTACAAAGTAGTGTTTCTGATGTGAAACAAACAATTATTCCTCCTGAAACTGTGCACATGGCCTGTGTGGCATTTCCTCACCATTTTGTAGTCTTTCCAAGTACGTTGGAAATCCACGGTGCCATCCTTCCTGTGCTGTAGAACAGTCCAGCCGCCTCCCTTTGTCTGCATGTCACAGAACACCTGTGAAAACAGAAATCCCAGAAATAAACCTGCAGCCTGGTAATGAACACGCAGCACCGGACCACCTTTCTGAAGTCACCTTCTAGAAATCTCACATCTGCGCATCAGTGTTCTGAGAGAAGAAAGGTCCTCTAACAGCAAACAGTCACTCAGCAAGACTGCAGGCTTGCTAGTGAAATTAAAAACCATTTACTACTACTTGATGTTTGATTCATTCCTTTAATATGTTACAAACATTGCAGTAACATAATGTAGAATAACAGATACTTGTCTCTTTCCAACAAAACCTGAACTTCCAATCATGGTTGAAGTATTTTACTTTTATACAGTACTGTACAGAATATTTAATTATCATTGTTCTTGCAATCCTGTACAGAACCCCTGTGGGAACAGAACAACCACCCTGTTTCACACTGTCTGCAGCTTAAAACACAAAGCACAGGTCTGCTGTGTTTAAAGTTTAAAGTGCATCATTTGAAAAGGCTTGCATAATTTTGATGCAGTTAAGGGGGGCGTGCCACACAAACTACATTGCAAGTGCTGTGAAACATGTAATGATTAGTTGACTGCCAATTTAAAACTAACAGTTATCCACATGGTATTCAATGCCAATAAATACTGGGGTGCAAGGAAGGCACAAGGGGTCGTTTTCATTCCAGCCTGTTTAAATCTCAGCTTCACACTGTGTCATCAGAGCTTCCACACTGACCACTCTCACTGTGAACATATCTTGAAAGCACACCTGAAGAAGGCTCCATGGCCGAAAGGTTGTGTTTTCTTTCTTCTTTTTTTCAGCATGGAATAAACCTATTACTTGTTCCTTTGCAGCCTATGCATGCTGACACAGCTCCCCACCTGAACTACTAATATCTTGAAAGCATCAGAATAACTGAACAAGACACTTAGTCTGTAGGGGGTTTCTCTCCAATTTGTGAATGAAAAACAGCATCCTTCTTGCTTTCCAGGAGAAAGAAATCGCAGCTTCAATTACCAAAGGTGTTTTGTAAGTTCACTTACATGCAATTGTGTTACAAATGGCTCATTCATCATTCTGGCAATTGGAACCCTATTCCAGTAAAGAGACTTAATAGTTTTTGGGTAATGCAAAATTCCCTGTCCACCTTTTGCCCCCAGACACCATCATTTATCAAGACAATTATTCAGTAAATTGGATAATAACTGTACCTCCGATATTTGCCATGGTCTTTCGTAGTTAAAGGTTGTCCCAATTGTGTAACAGTTAAATTGTCCATTTGTTAAGGGGGAAAAATGACAATGCAGTATTTTGAAGACTTGCAATTCTAAGATCACACATCACCACTTACAGTATATTATGTAAACGTCTAACAGACATTTTAATAGTGCTACTTTTTAGATACCACATACAAGACCAACAATTCCATTGTAAACGATTACCCTGTGTATGTGGACTACAGTACAAATAGGAATATTTATTGAAAAAGAAACTGGCAAATGGCCTAAGAATTTCCTACTTTATTTCTTGCATGACTATTTTAAATGCATGTTTTTCTTTAGCAGTAGCATGGTTCTCTCTTTTCTTGCTTCATACAGCTGACGTCTCTGGTTACAATCATCTGAAATTAGTGATCGTTATTATTGATAATGTATTGCAGTCTATAAACATTGTGATCACACTTTTGCCATGAAAGTGCTGCCTTTGGTAGAAAGTGTTTTTTTACCCGATTTGTTTGCACAACTATAACCCAAATGTGTGGTCTAGTTCGAAAGAGTCATTATGTATTCTTGGACCAAACAGTCTCCAGAGTGTCCAAAAAGTACTTTTAAAAGTCTTTTTAACAGTTTTGTTGACCTGCAATTGCTAAGCTACAGAAAGCTCGTCTCCCTACAGATTGATACCTTTACCTGCAGGTGTCTTTCCCAAGAAAATCATGCTTTCTATTTTAAGAGCTTCTCCAGCACACAAAGTACAGCCAGTTACTTCAGTCCAGATAAAGTTTTCACTGGCAAGATCAAAAATATTTCTTCCTAACAAAAAAAGTAAACTGTAGATCTTTCAAGAAACTAAAGAAACTGATCCCTGTGCAGTTTATATGAGATATTTTTATGTCCTTCATATTAAAACCAAAGGTTTGAAGAATGTAAAACCAATCATACATATATATATATTAAGTGTCATCTGAATGTCTTTATGCACTTATTGCTTAACCAGATGTCATCCCTCTGCAGCAGAGTCTGTTTTTTTTAACGAAAAACACATTCAGGTTTCATGTTTCGCATCTTGTTTAAACTCTAATTTCTGCAACAGAAAGCATTCCACTCTACAGGAACGAGTTCTGATTTCTGCTTTGTCTCCTTGTAATGACTGCAGATGGGCTGGTGACCCATTGTTAATGAGAAGAGTAAAAACAGTGCTTTTAATTATGCCCGGTTCTCCCTCACCATCCTCTGGCTGGGCCAAGACCTCCCTGTGGAAGGAAACACAGGAACTAAATGGAACATAGACGTCAGCTGCCTCTGCTTGCCATAATTACAGCCATCTATCAAATCCACTTTCAGCACCCCTTGTACAGACACCACAGAGGTGACGAGACCACAGTCAAAAGGAAGGGAAGTCTCCCAGGAAGAGAAGCTAACCAACTGCAAATCACAGCTTGACCTCCTTAGCAAACTGCTACTGTAAGTCTGCACAGTAAAAAAGTCTGACTGCTATCTGGTCTGCACTATCACTATCGCTTAAAAAAAAACCTGATGCCTCATTCCACCCTCTTTAAAAGATAAAGTAAGCCTTTCAGAATCCTAAACTTCAGTCATGCAGTCTTCAGCAGGTGGAACAAACAATTTCTTAATAGTCGAGATACTGCTTTCATGCATGGCATCATTTGGTTTCACATTCCAAGTGTCAGCTGGCATCTTTCATTCGACAAACTGTCTCCAGAGTCACAAGAGAAGGACGGAGTATTGTCCACACCTGGTTTCCACACACTAGACTAAAAGTCTGAAACTGGCATATTAAAAACTGATGATACACGATGACAGTTGAGGAAAATCAGAGAAAGGCCTTGTCCACAGTGACCCTCCTGTGAAGATTACACCCTTATCTATCAGTACTTAGGTTCTGAGCCCATGATGCAATAAACTACTTGTATCCTGAATTAGATGTCATACACAAACATGTGGGTGTGGGTTCATGGCAATCCATAAAAACAAAAGGAACAGTTAAGAGAGGTCATATCTCTTCATTCAAGCCGCCACCCAGTCTGTTTAAAAAGATGGCAGGATTTGAAAGAGATCAATGGTATGCACCATAGTGTACATAAAAGCAAACTTTTACTGGGGGCAAAACTGGCTGGCTAATAGATTCTACTTGCCAAGCATCTGCATTTTATGCCCAGTGTAAACACAAACATATGAAAAAGAAAAGCTACTATTTACTGTAATTTAGTAGTGCCTTACTAGTTGGTAAATACCTTACAATTTCATGCAGCTTTTTTACAAATGTCATAAAGTGAGAAAAGGGAACAAGACTTCATCTTAAAAAAATGACTTAAGGATTATTTAAAAACGTTTCAGTGCAATGCCTAAAGGCTCTCATTTTTTACTCTTGTTTTTAAAATATTATTTTCCCTCTGATAGACAGAAAGGAATGCTGTATAAAAAACATGATCAAAACGATGTACCATTCAAGTTAATTATAAAATTCATATAAAAGGCTGAAATGAAAAAATCAAAAGTAGACATTTGTGAAGAGCATTTTGTTTCTTACAAAAAAGACTATGTGTATGCTGTATAGTTTTTTTAAAACTTGTTTTGATTTTATCTTGCATAGTTACACTTAAGCCTACAATTTAGTTTCTCTTAGCAATTTACTTGTTGGGACAAAAGACCATCTTACCAAATAAGCAGCGATCAATGCATTCATGCAAGAAAATACATTATTAAGATCTGTAATACTGTAAGTATAAAGCTCTCCACAACTTTGTGTTGTAGGCCAAAAGAAATCCTAGTTTAATCAAAACTGTTAACCTGCTTCCTTTAGGTTTGTCACCTTAACAGTCTGTGTTGAGTTGGGGTAATGCAGAGAGTAGACTCCACTCTCGGTGATCCCAGATTTGTACATTTCTGCACAGTCTCTGAAGAGAACCTCTTCCTTTGGCGAAACAGAGATTTCTAGAAGAAATGAGAAGTCATTGAGTTTGGTGTTCTTCAAGTAAAGCTACAACAGAAAGAGGTCTCTGTTATGTACCATGCCATCATTGCAAGATAGTTTAAAGTCATCTTTACATAAATTACTAACTTAATGAAATACAAACATTAACACAAAATAATATTAATACACCAAGGACTTTTTGGGTTCTGTAAAGATTCATGTGTAACTTAACGCTCGACACAATTTCCATTATGTTATATCGCACTTTTATATTTCATAAGTTAAGTATGAAATAGATACTTGAAGAGCACGAGAGCATCAAACTGAAACAAACTTCAATTCTCTTCACCCGCATTGTGTGGAAGTGTAACCTTTTTAATCGGAATGTGCATACGATCCTTGTGGAGCAACAGAGCGTGATGAGAAAGCAGAGACCCTCCCAGTGGTCCTGCTGTAGCACTACGCAGTCTATTAGCTTTCTATTAGTGTATTAGCTATAGAAGAGACTATCTGTCCAGGACTGACCGTTGCATTGAGTGGCCATGGCCAGCAGCTGCTGCACTGTTTCCATGAGAGTGGCCAGCTGGCGCTGGAGCACGGTGCTGTTGCGTGTGGCACTACCCAGATCGCTCTCCAGCTGGGTGACCAGGTGGCTCTGCCTCGTCAGCAGCTCCTGGAGCTGCAGTTTCTCCACCTTCAGGGCCTGCAGCTCCTGGGCGTGGTGCCCCTCCATGGCCGCTAACCGCTGCTCCAGAAGACTGAGAGACCGAGACACAGACAGGCCATCAGAGCAATCAATAGAAAAGGCAGTGGGGGAGGATGTTTGGGTTTTGCACAATTAAATATACACCAGACTGTACCAACATGGCCACAAACCATACGAGGGAGGGGTATGACTTGTTGTATTAGTGTGTTTATCGATGCCTAGAGTACCCAATAAAAAGCTAATGCTTTCCATTTCTGCTGCAGCTAATCCTAGTGTTGATCAGATCAGCTTTTGGTAGTACTTACCTTGTAAACTATGACATTTATAGCATTTGAGTGGCAAACAGGCCATAAAAATATGTGTTTACCAATTCATTAGTGATTGTAGTCCAAAATGCAGCCAGTTTTAGTGAGGGGCTGCAGAAAATTAGCAGCTGAAGGTTTCAGGTGTGCTTCATCGAAGACCCAGTGCCTGTTCTCCCTACATCAATTTCAGATGCCAGAACATGAGAGAGCAGTGTTGAGAGCTGAGAGATAAATCCCTTCTCTGTCAGATGTGCTTCCCAAGATTTCATTAACGATTTCATTTTTCTGTTGCCATCTCCTTTAGTAGGAAAGCCCCTGTCATGGTAGGCTTTCTTAGGTGAAAGAAACCCATCAGGAATGATGATCTCCTCCGATGAAAAGCGGGTGGAGGGATTTTTACATAAAGGTGCCTTGTTTCACACAAAGGCATGGAATAGCGCAAAGCACTGAAGTGGAGATAGTGCTCAACAAGGGGAGATAGTGCTCAACAAGTGCTCAACACTATGCCAGAGGGGCAGTTTTGATAGAGCAAAGTTGGCAACACGAGTTGGAGTTGTGAGTTGGCATGTGCATGTGAACTACTCATGTGTGGCTTTTCTATCAAAACCCAAAGGCAAATTTCTGGCATCATGGGTATATTTTAACTGTACCTTTTCAAAATTTGTAACAATCAATTTGTGCTGCCGGATTTTATTACCTTGAGTAATGAAACCATAAGTGTTATGTATTGAAACCATCTAGTTTAACTGATTAAATCTGCTGTGCCTCACCTTCCACAAACTCACTTCTTAACTCAAGTTCAAGCTGAACCATGTCCTGTATAATGGCACCTCAGTGAGACAAGGCCTCAGTAAACCCTTTCTCTCTGCTTTCAACCTGCAGTTTCTTTTCCAAACAAATGTTTCATTTGTTTCTGTGGTGGCTGTTTAGTTTCGGAGTGTTCCCTTACAGTCATTCGGAAACACAGATGTGAGAGCAGCGTTTGATGCCTGGGAAACAGAGGAGGATGGGAGCCTCCGGACTAAATTATAATACTGAAATACATGATCTTATCAATTCCACAGCTTGTATAATATGTTATCGGACTTTTGTCCCCAGTATTGTAAGGGGAAAGGGTATATTTTCTTCTGAGGCAATTGTAATAAATCTAAATGAGCCACCACTAGAAAGATGTGAAGGGGATTATTTTCATAAGTTATTGCTATTACAGTGTGTTACCACCATGTGTTCCCCTGTACCCCACTAGCAAAGGGAGACTGCAAATCTCTCCAAGCTCCTTTCAACACACATCAGGGCAGCTCTGTTAAGTCAGCTTCTAGCTGCTGTGAAGCAGCTCTTCCCTCTGTATTGTCAGTAGTCTTCAGTGCTCCTGGCTGACCTGTTTTTATCATTGAGCCGAGTGATCTCCTGGGTCTGTTGAAGGATCTGATTCTCCAGCTTGTTGGTGAAGAGGGAATACTCTAACAGCTGTATCTCCAGTCTGGTGGTCTGATTAAGCACCTGAAAAACAAAGGGATGGATTTAAAAACATAGTTCTGCAGCTTCTCAGTGACTGGAAGTGAAGCGTATTTGAATCCTGATGCCTTTACAGCTGAGTAAAGGGAGGACAAAAAAAGTTTTATTGGAAGCTGAGAATAGTGTTAGTGAGCCCAAGCAGAGTGCAGCGCTGGTGCTTAAGTCTGAAGACTGTTAGTGGTGCCTGATTGTAGACATCACGGCTTCATCACTTCGCCTCTGCTTCTCATGTGTAAGGTTTGCTGACAAAAACACATGAATGCAAACAGTTTCATCCAGCTTTGTTGCTCCAGAACCTTGAGGTATTTTAACAGCTAAACCAACATTTCAGACAAAGGCAGAATAAGTCAAAATATTTGCACAGGTTGAGGGGACTGTATCTGACTTAACCAAAAACAAAGCAATGGGATCTAAAATAACACCTGTGTCAAAGGATCATGGGAACTGTTTGTTTTTTAAACTTTCCCCTGTGTTCTGCACTGATTTTAGTACAGTACTTCTGACACTGTCGGCACTCTTTTGCTTTTGTTTTTAAATACTTTTTTTTCATTAAAGATTCAACCTGTACTCGTTCCTTCCAGAACTACAGAACTTTTAATTCAACTGAAAAATTGTTTTTCAGTTCCATTTACAAGAATGAAACTGCCTTTTAGAATGCAAACGACAATGAGTCATCAATGCATTTAGTGGAAGCAGAGCAGGCCCATTGTATGTGTCACACTGTCACACCAGTCAGGTTAAAGATACAGTGTAACCCACTTTTGGAATTCATAGTAATTCAGAATTACTGAACATAACTAATTGGATCAACTGGTCATGAACTACTCCAAAACCATGAACCTCATAATGAATTCACATGAATATTGTTATGTATAGTTCAAGTAGGGAGCTGTGTCAGCATGCATAGGCTGCAAAGGAACAAGTAAAGGTTTATTCCTGCTGAAAAGAGAAGAAAGAAACAACATTTCGGCTGTGGAGCCTTCTTCCAATTCTTCACACCCGAATAAGGCTCCACAGAAGGCTCTTTTCTTCTTCTTTCAACATGGAATAAACCTTTACTTGTTCCTATTGTTACTTACTGTATGTCTGAATAGTTCAACCTTTAAATTTAATTTAAGTTCAAGTAGTATTTAATATGGAAGCAAAGCCTTGCAAACTTTGAAATTCGGCTGACTTGTCTGTTAGTCATAGGAGGTTCATCAGTGTTGAGATAATTAATGCAGGTTAATGCAATAGTTTTGATTTGTACTCAATGCGATTGAATTGTATTGCAATACTTTTGTTCTGAAAGGTCGTGAATGACAGTCAACATCAACTTGCAGTGTCTCTTATCTCATCCTGTGTCAGTTGGCACGCCTACAATTTTGTCTGACCTGTGTCTCCACGTCTGTCAGTTTCCGGGTCTGTTCAGCGGACTGGCTCAGCAGATTGGTACCAATCTCCAGCATGGCGACAGTCTGTTTCTGAACTGTGTTCCTCTGCAGTTCCTCCATCTCGGTCCTCACATTCTCCTGGATGTAGCTCTCCAGCTGTTGGCACACAAGAATGTCATTCTTTCTGTTTTCAGGGGATACAGTTTAGAGAAATGATCCGGGCGCTGGAATCTTAATTGGATGTTGTGTGTCCAGGTTCCAAGTTGAGTACTGCTGTTCTACCCAGTGGTACTTAGCTGTGCAAATGGGTTTGCATGTCAATCTCTTTGGAATAAAGTGTGAGCCCAATAAATAATGAAGACCAGTATTATTTTTTTATATGATCATCAACATCAACACGTTCAGAAGCAGGACCCTGATATGACTTGCACAGTATAAAACAGCAAGGCTAAATTCACCCCATTCATCCAAAGCTAAATTCATCTTTTTTTACCCAACACTGCATAAACTCACACTAATTAGCAAAATCCATATTTAAGGGAATGTATATATATGGATGTGGATGTGTAGACATATTTGTTGGGAAGAAAGGTTTTAAAGGCAGCCTGTATGAGGATTTTTCCAACACAAGGGAGATGTAACATCATTTGACCACTGCAGTTCGTTAAAAGACTGCAAATTAGTTTAACATGACTTATAATGCATTTGTATAAAGGGCTCTGGCTACATTTACGTACAGTACATTAAATGACCATTGCTAAATCATGCACTTGTGTGTCTGTGTGGTTGCAAGGGTACTAGTTTTTCATCTCACAAAAGAAGGGAAAATGCTTGAATGAGCAAGTGCCACAATCAGGGGCCCGAATAGTCAGGCGAAAGGAGAGAAAGTCCTTCATGATACAGGTTTGCAAATGGTGCTTCATGTGATTGTTAAGGAATACAAATTCAGTCTTTTGCGTTGATGTGGTAGTTAAATCTGTGTCTCTCTTGTTTAAACAGATATTTGTCCAGTCAAATAAACAAGAATGACTTACTGTACATATTTCATTTATTTGCAGCCTGGCCGGATTTTTCGCATGGGCACCAGGATGAGCTACAGCTCATTGTGGTGAATAAGAAAATTCCTTCGTAAGCTGTGACCTCAGAGTGGAAATTGTAACCAGATTTTATTTACACATAAAACTCAAAATAATGTTCTTTCTTTTCCACAAGAAAAAGAAAAGTAATAAAAAATCAATTTACATTCCAGGAGAAAGGGTGGCCTTTTGAAGTAAGATTTCACATTTACTGAAGCGATTTCTTCCTGATCTTCTGGCACTTTTGTCTTTACACACATCACAAGAGTAATTCACCACAGCCTTGCAAACATTAAATTAAGTGCAAGTAGGATCTAAACTGAGGATTTGGAGGCTTGAGACAAGATGTACATAACGTAACAGAGTTAACACTGCAGTTACAGGTATAATGGATTTTAAGGAATACCGTAATCATTTCAGAATCAATCAAAATACCCTGGAGCAATATTTTGTCATCGATGAGAGATAAGCATTCCATTCTCAGAAAAGGAAAGTTTTAACAAGTTTGCTTTTCTTCTTTAATCAACTTCAATCTTCAACTAATTTGAAAAATCATTGAGTGCGCAAGCTGGTTTTTGTTTGTTTTGCTATGATTGTTTCCTTTCTTCTTAATGTAGGTTGAGCTGTGTTCAGATTGACAAACTCTCAAACCTCACATGTAATCACTGTTGTTTGTCAGGGTTTCATTTTCCTAAATGAAAAGAAATAAAAACCCCTGTTATTTTCCTCAAATAGAAAACTGATTATATCTGTCGTCATGTCATTTACTGCAATCAAATGCATATGAGACTGAGATGATAAGCATTATTCCTTGTGACTGTAGTAGACATAGAATAATGTTAGTATTATACTGGCAAAGCAACTCAACTTTGACAATACCATGTACACTTTTGCTAATTTAAAGCATTTTGCTGAAACAATAAAACTTAATAAGAATGAAATTCAATATCTGGCACTTGAAGGAGGGATGTTGTAACCATTTCTGTACCGTGTAATTGTGTGCAGATTTAAAGATCATTACTTTTCAGCTGGGTGATACTGTGCTGACGGGGAGCAGAGTGACTTTATCTGTCAAAAGCAGGTGCTGCTTCAGCAAAGACTATGTTAAATGTCATCAGTTTGCAGCCAACACAATATAAAGTCTGACAGGTACTTACTGGTAGTATGCTGGATTTTTTTTCTCCCCTCTGGTCTTGACACAGCTGGTCAAAGGGACAATTTTTTTTAATGGATGTGATGCTAAATAAAGACTGCCAGGAATGTAGCAGAAGCTGTACTGCGTGTTTTCACCAACCTGAGCTACGCTGTACAGCAGAGTCCACAGAGCTTTAGAATGATTTGCTTTTTATTCCCTTATTCTACTCAGAAAGTGAAATGAGAACAATCTGTCATTTACAGTGCTGGCCTGGAGACCCGCTTTTAACAGCAAGGACTTTAGTGGGGGAATGTTAGCGCATTAGCCTGCTGCAGGGTACGACAGCAGCCCACACAGCATTTGAGCCCGTGACCCTCCAGTCCATGGTCCCAATAACACAGCCATGCTCCTGCTTCAAATTAATTCCATTGGGTGTTACTCTAAAATTATCTATTACCTCCCAAATCATTTAGTTTAAATGCCTCTGGTTTAAAAAGTACATGAAAGCAAATCAAATTCCGACATCACTGCCTTGAGCAATGAGAAAACTGCTGTAAAATCGGCCATGAGATGCAATAGACAACATGTCCCATGAAGCTGCCCTCATGTGAGAGATCTTGGCCCCACACACAGCACAGGCCCTGAATGAAACCTTCACATGTTCTGTCTTGGGAAGGGAAAATAAAATAAACTTCAAGAAGGTGAAAACAAGAAAACCAAAACCTTTGCTTATTTTTCAAATCAGTCCTTTTTCAAGTGTTTGATTACTGGACAAACGTTCTCTTTTAAGAAACCCTGAGCTGTGGCCAATCCCAACACTTTGTTTTGCCTATTCTTGAGAGAATGCAGGGCTGAAAATCATCTGAAAAGTGAGTTGTGCTGGCACAGGATACCCTCAATGCCAATGCAGAAAGTCAGATTGACAGTAAGAGGGCGGAGTCTTATAGAGACTACACAGTGAAGTCAACCACCAGGAACTGTCAGAGCCACCCAGAGTCCTTTGCCATTAGAGCCTGTCTTTTATCTTTTATTAGGACGCAGCCCAGTGTGGTTCTGGCATAAAGGTCTTGTGTTCCCCTGCCAAGAGATGAATGGAAAATTCCTTCAGCATCAAACTGCTACATTGTGTAAATAAAATAAGTCTGCATTAACACCTGAAATTTTCTGCTTTTCTCACAGTAGACAATAGAACAACAACAAAGAACAGTAAAAGATACCATATGTTTGTGAGCATTTACATGTTCATCTATATGCTCTATCTCTATGAATCGTTAACTAAAAACAAGCAACAAGATTATGGCGGGACAAAAAAGAGATTTAAAAGCAATAAACTAATACAGTAGGTTCTTTTCATATTTCCCAGATTATGCAACTATCAGACTTGAGTGATGCAGATGCACAGTGTTAAAGAGCTGTTTATCTGAACAACAAAAAAACTTAGAGAAGAGCCCGTCAGCTAAAACAAATGTCACATTTGGTCTTTCATTGACAGAAATGTGTTGAGCAAGCAGGTCACCACGAGCCAGAGCTCGAAGAGGTCACATGACTCCCCCCCCCAAAGATTAGCCTCTGTTCTTGCCTCTCGACATTCCGGGGCCGTAAAACAGCCACACGTCTTCCAGCTGGGAGACCGGTTTTCAATGTTATAATCTGGGAGCTGAGCTGAGAAACAAAAAAAAAACAGAACTGCGAAAAGAAGGCTGAATGGAATTTCTCCTGGTCCCTCACAGTGGTTGAGTTTATAAACACTCTCCACTGTGTAAACACTGACAGGCCCTCAGAGACACTAGAAAGCTGAGGAAGAGGCTTGCGATTTTAAAATAATGTTCAGAACATCGTGTTACAGCAGATCTGTCGCGTGACTTTCACGGATATCCATCAGACCTGCCGCGAGGAACTGAGCACACTCCACAGGCAGTAGGGCTTTAAAACTCCCGTTTGCAAAGAGCCAGGACCCTTCAAGGCTGTACTAATAGCTCTATACAGGGTATTTTAAGATCTTAACGAAATAAAAAAAAACACTTGAATTGCATACATATGTTCAAAATATGACATAAATATAGCAATTGCAGCCAAACAAGAAAGTAATGGATGATGAATAACTCTTGTCTAAGACCTATTGCAGAGTAATCTGGGAATATGAATATTTGACCCTAGGAAATGTTAATAAAAGTAGCTGTATTAAGTAGTTGGACAAATGGACGAGATGAGAAAAGATGACAGATAAATACTTTGAGTTGTGTGTGCAGACTTTTTTTGTGAGTAATGTCTTGTGTGCTATCTTGAGCGTAATCTCTTGAGTGTAATTTTGTGTGTGTGCCCTTGAGTATAATCTCTTGTGTGTGATTTCTTGTCTGTAATCTTGTGGTAACTCAGACCTGGACGAGTGGCTGTGCAATGCTGCTCAGCCTTATTCAAAAACCAGTGTCCCAGGGACACCAGCCATGGATGTGAACACTTCTGGCTCACGGATCCGTCAGAGCAGACGGAGACACAGCCTGGAGCGACACACTGCTAGGAGGAAACCTTTGGGGCCACGGGGGGGGGTCACACTGCCCTCTCCTGCCCTCAGTCTCTGGACTATTTATCCTTCTCACACCTGAGCTTTCCCACTGTACAATCTTTCTCTTCTTTAAAAAAAAAATACTCCCACAAACCCACGAGGCATGTTAAGAACATGTGTTGTTTTTTTTCATTCGAAACGACTCCCAAAGTTAAAGAGCATACCATGTCATTCAGATACACTTTTCTGGTGTTCGAAATGCCAAAACCAGCCTAGCCTGATGCTTCTTCATTTATGGTTTTCAGAAACATCAGCTTGCATAGACATTCAGACCTTTAATTTCTGGAATGCATGATGATAGCACAAACATCTTTGTGAAGGATGGTGTCAAATAAACAATTCTACCCCTAACGTAGGAGCATTTATCTTGTATCTGAAGTGGTCCTCTTGTAGAATCTTTACCAAAAACCATTGATTTGGAAAATTCTTTCCCAGATAGTTTAAAGAATTAGAAGAACCCTAATTCAATAATTCTGGAAAGAGGTTAAGGCCTTTCTCAGGGAAAGTACTGACTCTAGTATAGTATCACATAAGATTTATTTCCCCAGTTTTATTAAAAAAAAATATTTGTCTTATGCAAATGCTATTGTGTGCTATGCAAAACGTGCTTGTGAATAAATCATACTTTAATACAATAATTGAATGGCAGCCAGGAGAAAATAAAGTAGGTTTGGTATACAGTGGATGCCATGCCAGTGGCCCTGGAGATCTGCCTTGATGAGACAAATAGGAAAAAATGATCAATTACATCTCTGCATCATCCGAGTGTGTGTGCCAATTGCCTTAACACAAATCACATGCTCTCTGCACCTTCTAAGTACTGTTCACAGATTTTGACAACAAAAATTAGCAAAGAAACAAGAAAGAGGATAAGCCTACAGACAAAATCAAACCACGGTACAGGTTACCTTTTGCAGCCACTGGGTGTTGTTCTCCATGGCGCTCTCCAGGGTCTCCAGCTTCTTGGACTGCCAGGACTGCTCTGCTGCGGGGGGTGAGTCTCTCTGCAGCGAGTTGGTGACCTGGAATGCAGAGCCCGGGCGGCAGTGCTCCACCTCCGGCAGCAGGAAGGTGTAGCTGCAGGGCCCGTGTTGCACCTGGTGGTGTCGCCTCTCTGACGAGCCCACAACGGCCACGATGGCCACAGCCAGCCAACCGACAGGGTAGAGTGTCGCCATTAGGGCAGTTGATTGGGTGATCCCCAGATAGATAAAGGGAACAGAACTGGAGAGATCTGAGAGTGGAGGATGCCTCTTCTTCCAAATGCTCAGCTTGCACCCCTGCTAGCTTCCACCTCTCCTGCCTCCAGTACTCCAGCTTTCCTGACTCAGTTCTTGCCTGTGGGGCTGCACTGACATGTGTTTTATGACAGTGTGCTGCAAACTGGCTGCCAAGAAATTTTTTGCTGTGTGCCTGGACTGATTGGATAAGGCGATTGTTTCCTATTCTTGCAGCGGCAGTGGTCCACAGCGCTTTCTGCAGGAAACACAGGGCATTTTCCTGCTTTGTTGTTCTTTCCCTTTTTTTTTTTTAGTTTCTCAGAAATATTTCTCTTCTTGTTCTTGGTACACGAGAGGAGCCAGTTCAGAGCTGTATATTAGGTGTCTGAGGATTTAAAGTACTGAGAAACCCTCCCTCATGGCTTAATCATCATCCCCCACCTCCTATCTCACACTCCCTCCACCACCCAACTCCACACATCTGCCCCCCTATTCTGGGTTAGAGAGGAAAGCTACAAAAATACACAGCATGACCACCACAATGGCTCCTTCTCACAAATATTCCCTTGTTTTATACACCCTCTCCTCTATTCCTGCTTGTCTCCCATCCTCCTATCCTCTCCCACTGCTGAAAAGTGAGTGGTACTGTACGTTTTCAAGAAAGACCCAACACTATATTATGTATCACTTCGTATTACTCCTTTAAATTTTTTTAGATATGTTGCAATTTTACTTTACACGGATTTTAATAAATCCGCTTATTGTAATACAGTATATACTTTTTTCTGTAAAATATACAGCCGCAAACTGCCCTAATTAATCAAGACTCTCCTTAACCATTTCAGTGATGGATTTTTTGATGAATTACACAGAATGAAATCATTGTATTCCAGAGCACTCAAGGTTGAGAATTGCCCCTGGTCAATAAGCATATTGATATTTTGAAAACAGTGCAATTAATAAGCGGTACTTAAGAATATTGGAATGGTTAGGAACTAACTGAGGCCATTCAGCGCATGAAAGATTCTGTATTTAGCGTGATTTCAGAAAAGCCTTGAAGACAATGAACTTCAGGGTCGCTTGAGTTGGTTGCCAGCACAAGAATAAAATTGTGAATTGAGTGTTTAGTCAGAGTCACCTTGTGTTAACCCACAGAACGAGGAGGGGGGGACCCCCTACAGCGGGAAGGGGTAACCAACATGGGGACGTGGCGGAGGTGGGATGTACTGTAAATGACAAAATATGAAAGAGAAAAGACTCATGTAAGGTATTAGTAGTTTTTTTTTAAATTGAGGAAATGACAACAGGAGAATAGGACAGCTGAGGCTAATTTAACATGGCAGCTGTCATTCTTCCCAACTCCATATTGCCTCACAACCAGACTTTGTAATGTGGGGGGGGCTCTGTGTGTCCCCTCCCTATTTTCATCCTGATTATCCATCAGGGCACACACGAGCCCGTCAGTCTGTGCTCACTGCTCGCCATATACCTCAGATTACAGCAGCGCAGGGGGTCCGTCTTCAGAATTAGTCATCAGTTCGGAGTGATTACTGCATGACTAACAATGGCACCACCAAACAAACAAAGAAAATAGGGCAGGAAATGAGAAAAGCATTTCAGCAAAAAGAAAACTTCTACTCTAAACTTTCCATTCCGCTCACTTGAGGCAGATGCAAGTCATTATTCATTCGATAAGCGTTAGAACCACAATCCCAAACAGCAGACACAAAATATTCGCTCAAAACTGCTGGCTGATGAAACATTCAAGATTAAATTTGTTCAGTTCAAAATATCACAGCCTTCATTCTCTACAAAAGGAATTTTTCTAACCTTTTCTTCCTAATCCATCCTCAGGCAAGTAATTGGAAGCCATTTTCAGCATTTTTCTCACCTTGATGAAGTGCTTTCGACTGCAGTTGGCCCTTTCTGTATCTTAGCTACTGTTTGGGACATGTGGTTACAGAACAGCTACCATATTCAGCTCCTGAGCTGGCTGCCTTTTGGCATATTTGTGTATGTAATTTGTGGTTTTTTGCTTTTGATGTTAATTGTCAATGTCTAAGTTAAAGCATTAATCCACTAGAACACAAATATGCCTCCTAGAGTCTCATTCTGGTTCTTCTCACAAAGCAACTTAAAGTTGAATTCAATTTTCCATTATTCTGCAGACTAAACTTATCCCAGTAATGGCCAGAAATGTACAGAGCCATCACTCCAATTTAAGGCGCTAAGACATGGCCAGGAGCAGGTCTGTGGTTTTTTAAGTACTGTAATTATATGAAGCATCTCTGAATAAACTTGTGTTTTCATTCCCTGCAGGAAAAGTTGTTTAGGAGTTTAGAAACCAGCAAGCGCCATTGGAATGAATGAATACGTCTGTAATCACATCATAATTTACTTGTGCTGAAGTTACCACAACAAACTTTGCTTTACACATTCCTTTAAGTACACACCAGTCGAAATGTCTGGACTCCCCATCCTGGACTACAGGGATGTGGTTCACAGAAAGGACTTTAAAGCTTATTGCTTTTGTCATTGTGCTCTTCACTCTTTGAGTGAATGTCCCACTCTGCAAACAAGATAAAAATTCTCCACTGGTTTGAATGGGCCTATACATCGTTAATTGGGAAAATAACGCCTTATTTTAGTATTGCATAGAGTTCTCTGTGCCATCTTTCAATATGAGATGGAGCACTTTCATCAAACTGAACAGCCCAAGAGTAACTAGTGAAAACTAGTGACTTTGCGTGCAAGACCGTTTCAATTTTTCACAGCCACGGACTGGAACAACTCTGGCTCTGCAGGGCGAGCTGAAACTGTCCTCCTTCATATCTGATGGTGTTTTCAGTTGTGTGTTTAAGCCTTTTCTGGCTGACACCCACACCTATTAATACTGCCAGGTTCTGTTAAATTCTGTCCTGTTATGTTATTTACATTCTTAATTGTGTTTTTTTTTTAATTTCACCACTTTGTCTTCTATACTATGGTAGTCTGTGAGCAGCTTGACCGGGTCATCACTGTAAATGAGAACCTGTTCTCAACTGCCTTATCTGGCGAAAGAAAATAATTACTTATAAATTATTGTCATTAAAATGCAAGGAGTTACTTCTTCTAGCATGCTCTGCGTGATCTAAGCCTTTATGTAATGGATTGTGTCTTGCAAAATCTGTACAGTTCAGTCTTAGTTAATGTGCCTGCTTTCAATCATATTAATCCAAATGTTCTGTACTCCCTGTTAAAAGCACTCTCTTATTCTTCCTGTGTGTTGCACAATATCGATGTCAGGAATTAATTCCCTCCCCAGATGTTTTTTTAGAAAAGGTGGGGGAACATGCCAAACCAGCATACATTAGGAATGCACGACTCTGGATTTCTGAGCCTTTTCAGAAACTCGCTGTCATGACAAAGCATTTATCCAGAGATTCAGGAATCCTGTGAACTACAGAGCAGTTAAAACAATAAGCCTCTGCCACTGTGGCAAGCAGCTTGTTTCATACACTAGTAAGGGAAATTGATTCTCAGCGTGTTTCCGGATGGTTTTGATCATACTGCATGTGATTTGAGGAAAAGACTAGTAAGAAAAAACGGCATTTGAATAATAATGGAACCACAGGCTTACCAAACCCTAAAGCTGTATTGAGACATTTTAAAGTTGTTTCTTATTTAGGTCCATCGGCGTGCATGAAACAAACCAGATTTTTAAATAAGAGCATGGACACAATAACAGCTACAATAAGAGCTTGGCTGGGCAGCTTCTGATTAGCCATTGATCCTTCTATCCAATCAATCTGGAAAAATTAGTTATCATCTAAAGAGCTTGTAAAGAACAGAGTGTTTAAAGAAAATTGGAGTAGAGTCAAAGAAAGAAAATGTACCTGTAATTTTTACTGTAAGTACCAAATCAAAGAAGCATTCGAAATGGAACATCTTTACTTACTAAGAAGACACTGAACTACAGTGTGGGAACAAGTAATAGGTTTATTCCATGCTGAAAAAAAGAAGTAAGAAAACACAACGTTTTGGCCGTGGAGCCTTCTTCAGGTGTCCATACAGTGTGGTATGCATTTGTCTGTTTTAAATATGCATTTAGGTCAGTGCTTTTGGCTTCTCTGAAGATTAGAGTTTCTGTTTGCATCTCTGAATAAGATGTATACAGAATGGCTCTTCAGACTTTCACACACAGCTTGCTCCAGCAAAGACAGGCTTGATCGTCTTACCTGATTCTGGGATGCAGAAACTGCACATGCTTCAGTCTATTTGCAATCCTCATGTCTGACCGCTTATGCCTCCATAGGGCTATTTTTATTTATTGTTTCCTCTTTGTCAAGGGTAAATGTCTGGGGAATATTGCACCGGTTCCTTAAGCACTAGAGCAGGCAGTTTTCCCCAAGGGTAAAGCACACCAGGAGGCTGTGCTCTCGGGGCCAGTCTTCCCCCTGAGTCAGGAGGGGCCCCTCTCTGTGGGAGAACAGTGGCTTTGTTTTCCTGGGGGCTCGACTGAAAGTGCTTGAAGAGAATATCAATCCAGGCATCATGTGTTTTCCACAAGTGACTGTAGTGTCATTATAGGTATCACACTATAATTGTCACACCACCAAAATGGAGAAACACTGTTGAGTATTGGTGGCATTTTTTTATTTCTCATTTGTTTTTTGTATGACTATCAGCCAGAATCATCCTTGCCAGGAAATACCGGAGGAGTCACAGCGTCTTTCGGTGTGCTGATTAAAGTTACTTCATTACAAAGTACAATGAGAGTGTAACCAGATTTCTTTCTCTACTTGCTTTAAGAAATTACAGAGATACAATATATTCACTTTTCATCTTCTCTGGGTTCTCTTTAAAATATTACCTCTTTCTCAAGGAAAAAAAAAACTTTGAAAAAGCAGAAATAGTACTGAAGTGATGGTACAGTAGCTCCTCAGTGTCACTGTACCAGTTATAGGCCATAAATTTGTCCTGTAGATGCTGTTTTAAATTATTAAAAGACTTTGGAAAGATTAACATAACACACCTAACTTCTTCCCATTTAGTATTTTGAGCTATGCTATATGACATCCAAGAACTCCTGACCCTACAGAAACTAATTCTGAAACATTCTTAAATTTACATTTTCTGCTCATCTCTTAGAGACATCTAGACCAGCCAACAAACATAAAGAAATTATTTAGTACTGCCAGGAGAGCTACAATAATAAAAATGCAGTCCAAGTTTACAAAAATGTGCCCTTTTAAGCGTCGACATAATTGTGTTCTTTGAGTTACCTAGCTGAACTTAAAGCAATATTTACTGTAACTAGTGCTTTTTTACAGCCTGCGAATGATTTTCTTGCAAAGTATTTAAGTACTGTTATCCAATTAAATACTCTAATTCCCAGACTCTTCAGGGTGCCACAGCATGATGCTTCT